GGTGGTGGAATCTCCATTTTTAGAGGTTGTGGAATCTCCATCCTTGGAGGTTTTTAAGATCCAGGTAGACAAAGCCTTTTGTGGGAAGATACAGTTGGAGCTGGTCCTGCTTTGAGCAGGGGGATGGACTACATAACATCCTGAGCTCCCTTCCAACCCTAATTTTCTATGAGTCTATCATTCTGACTTCAAATGGCTGTTCCAGGAATCGTCCCAATTTGGAAGAGGAGCATTTTTGAAATCTTGAAATTCTTTGTGGGATAGGAAAATCATTTCCCACCCATTTCTACTTTAGTGTATAGAATCATACAATCATAGAAAATTAGAGTGCAGTGTATAGAAGTTAGCATGACTGAAGCAGGGGTAGAACTCTCAACTTTTTTCCATTGGGTGTACTTGTGGCTGTCTATCACTCATTTGTCACCATTTTGAAAGCTAAGATGGTGTGGAAATTCATTCCCACAAAGACACAATTCTACTTGCCTCCCAAAGTGCAGGTCTTTTCTTGCTATATTCCTTGTATCAGCACTGAAAAGGGCAGGGCACATAGTTAATATAAAGCAAGTGATGAGCAAGTCTGTGCAGGATCCATGCAGAGCTTACCAGCTGTTTTAGCCTGAGCACATGCTCTGAAGCACAAATCCTTTCGTCATTCAGTTATATGTGCATTTCAACTCTGTGGAGGAAAATACTTCTTTGATCAACATTATATTTATAATGCCCACCTCTACAAAATGAAGATGTCTGATGCAGTGGACATCAGGATTACTTAAATCAGTAGTTCTCAAACTTTTTAGACTATGGCACCCCTCAGGCTTGAGGCTTCCCTTTGAAAATGCCAGCTCTTAGTTTTCACTCATTTTTTGAACATGGAAAAATAATAGAGAAATTTTTTCTGTTGCAAAGAACTGAGAAAGACCGCAATGGATCAACATGTTTTTAACACTAAAGATTCCTATTTGAAGTCTCTGGGTTTATCTTGTGAATCATGTCTGCACACCTAACAGTGCTAACATTGCTTTACTTGGCACCCCATGGCACCCTTGAAAGGATCTCAAAGCAGTCCAGAGTGCCATGGCACCCTAGTTGAGAATCTGACTCATACAGATATAGTGAAGATGTTGGAGTTAAAAAGTAGTTGACATCAAATTTCTAGCAGCTGGTCAACCATATAAATACATACATGAGGTCTGCAAATTTACAGTCACGACAACACCTACAATAAGCAATAGATGGGTGTAAGTAGATTACTGAAACCTCAAACCATCAGCCTGATTCTGCCGGAACCCTACTTATATTAGTAATAAAGCTGCTGACATGAGAAAGTATTAACCTGGAGAGTATATGTTTCAAGAATCAAGCCCGCTTTACAAAAATCAACATACATGACAGAGAGAGACTTGAAAAAGTTCATTTAAAATTAAAAATAAAAGAACTCTCAAAAATTTAGTAAACTTTGTTTTTTAATTGTATCTCTTTCATGAGTGATAGTAAAAAACAACCCTCATAAAGACAGCTAAAATATGCCTGTATTTTATTGTGAAATTTAAACTACAAGACACAACAGGTACAAGCCAGCTACCTAATTCTCCTCATTCTCTCTCTCTCTTACCTTCCAATAATTATAAAAGTTCTATTAGGATATTGTTTCAACACAGTAATTATTACTTTCCAGGAAAGAAAATAAGGGTTTCAAGAGGGTTGGACCTTGAACCATATTTATTTGATACTATTACTACAATTTGAGATTTTTTTTTACTAAATTCATGTACCATACCATAGAGTCATGTTCTTAATTCAGCACTATAATGTTCCATAGGTCTGACCTGTCTTGCAGTCTATCTTTTTCCTGATAATGAAAAGGAAATCTTGGTTCTCAAATAAATATATACTGTTCCTGATATCTTTTGCAAGCAGAATTTGTTTTCTATGGAAATAATTACTCTCATGTAGGACAGAATTCACTAAAGCAGAAGTTTGTAGCTCCCCCTGGATAAAAAACTGTATCATATTCACATCCTTCTTTCATGTCTGAGTACAGATTATTTCATTTGACCTGTGTGCCACATTAAATGTATTTGCTTTCTTTGATAAAAACAGTAAGCACAAGTCAATTTACTATGACTTCATTTAAAATTTTAAAATAGGGAAATATATCATCCTGAGGTTCTCTTAACTTCAATGCAGTATTACAAATCAATACCAAATGAAGATATAGCCCATTAATGCTTAAGTAAAAAAAGAAAACAAAACCTTCAGTGAAACCCCCAGAACAGGGGCTTCATATACCGCATATCAATCACCATGCCTGGAGTACCCAGAATAAGTTGAATAGCAATGGATGCCAACAAAAACAATTTAAGACAGAATATCATGACAAAGATTAGAGCTGTAGAGAAAATATATTAGCAGAAATATAAATGCTTGACTTATTGCTGGGTATTACCGAGTTAATAATTGCCACGATAGCTATGTAATATAAAATGGATTTCTTTTCCCACACATCTTTGCAGACTCAGGCGCAATAATGTTGCAGCTCATAAAATCAGTGGCAAAATTCCCACTCCCAGCAGCACTATGCCACAGTATAATCAGATCTAGAAATACTAGAGATTGACTGACTTCAGTGGAAACTGGATTGGGTCGTTAATATTATACAAGAAGTGGATTTCTTGCAGAAGAGTTTTATAGGTGGTCAGCTTAATATCCATTCATTGCCTCATCAGTACATTGCCCAAATACCGAGTCCCGTGTGTATGATTACTGTTTTCTCAGTCATTGTTAACTCTTAAGTCTCAAATAATTTTGAAACAAACTGTTCCAGTTAATTCATTTATGAGGCATTGTTTTCAGTATTTCAATATTACAATTTCATTCCATGTTTCATTTTGTCCTTTTTAATTACTGTACTCTTTTATGCACCACAGAATTGAGTCTCCACCCTTTACACCCTGTATAATCATCTGCACACATGTAATGTGTATGTTAATGCTACTGTGCATCTTTCATAACATTTTGTACTTGCTTCATATGTCAATGAATGGACAGATCCTCTAACAGATCCAAATTATCACTCTGGAAAGCCATCAAGCCCCCTTAGTTTGCTTGCTTGATTATAGTAGCAGACAAAAATGTTCCCCCCAGGCTCAGGAGCAATCTTTTTTCCTGCTGGCTCAGCGATATGATTCAGATTTAATCCCTCATGTGAAAGGTTGATGGCAATATCAAATTGGCCATTTTCCATTTTTTTTTGGTTAAACCTCAGACTTTGCAAACTCTTCATCAGTGATCTTGGCTGAATTTTTGCCCTTATCTTATTCTTAGCTATTCAGTAATTTTTTTTCTCCATCACAAGACTTTGGGTGTAGGATCAGAAAATCCACAGACACAAATATCCAGAATTGACAATAGGTTTGAACATTGAATTGGATTTTGGAATTCAGTGGAATTCAATTCACTTTTTACAGACCTCTGTAGAGAGTTTTTTTAACTTTTTTTTCCTACCAGGCTTAAGTGTTAAATGAAAGCAACTTCTATTTCATTTAATATTGGTTAGGATATTACCAGTATGAATTCCAGACCAAAATGCACATTTCACAAATTGTAAAAACATCTTTTAAATATCTGCATATAAAGAGAAAATATATTTACACATTGTGTAAATGTATTCAACATGCCTAAATGATTTACTATTGCAAAATTGGCTTCAAATGATGGTTTTCATATTAATGTTCTATTGGTGCTTGTGTATATGTATCCTAATTTGCTCATCATACACTGAGGGAAGAATGGAGCCTTTCTGTAATTATCATTTATTGGATCAATTATATAGCTGGGAGAGATGCCTCTGTTCCCCTCAGGATAACTTTCTCTGAATTTCACTATGAGGTGAGCTCCCGTGTCATTGTCATTGGCAATAGGAAGTTTTTTTCCATATAGCTTCTCTCTGTTATGCTTGGCAAATTCTTTGTCATTCTCATGGAATTTCCAAGTTTTTACTTACCTCCATGCAGTGCAGTGCGTGAATGTGGTTAGACCTTAAGTTTCATGCAAATTGTGAAATTATGAAAATTCAGTGGCTCTTCATGTAGGTAAATGAAGAAGGATAATGTGATCCTTTATTCTTGCACAGGTTTGAGTTTTTAAGTGGGTAACACCAGCATCCCTTTTAAATTTAATTGAAATAAAAAAGGGAAAAATCTCTTTTCTTCTTCTTCTTATTGTTGTTGTTCTTGGTAACATGGTAAGATAAAAGCAGGAACTCCACTGAGTGAGCTGGGTGGAAACTAGCGACCAAATTGCTGATTCAGAGCCTCATACAAGATGTGGGAGGAGAAACTTCTCTAGAGTTCCTCATAACTCATCGAAGTGAGGCAGGCTAGTCCCGGTTATAAGCAACAGAAGGATTAGCTCATCATGGGAAAAAGAGTAGATAAGACAACGACTGTGGTTTCAGAGAAGCCAAAGAGGAGGTATGTGTGTGAGGGAGGAATGAAAAACAGTGTAAAGAAATGGGAGACAGGCAAGGGTTGTGAAACATTTTTCTTGACTGTTCTAGCAATGTTCCAATTACCACAGATAAAGTTTTGAAACATATTAAATGAATGCTAACTGAATATATTATCTTTTCATAGAGTATGGTTTGGTTTATAGAACTGGGAAATCTGGGACATAGTGTCAACTCTACCACAGATTTCACATATGAACATAACCAAATCACTTAGCTATTTTCTCCTTCAGTAAAAAGGGACAAAAATACCTAAACTTGGGTCTGAGAAAATTACTTCAGGACAATTTTCAAAGGATCTTGAAATTCCTAGGTGACCTAGAGAGTTTTAGTATATCATTAGAATCATACATTGTTACATTTATTTTTATATTTCTCTGGATTGCAAATTAGCAAAAAATACTCTGTTTTCATTTTTTTTATATCCTTTTAGATACATTTCATCAGTACATGAATGGAAGTTTAAAAGGTTTGTTGCTAAATATCTGTGAAAATGGAAACCTCATCTTTGCTTTCATCCCTACATGAAGACTGCAGATCAGAGAACTACATCGAACCTCATTACAAGGAATGGTACCGAGTAGCCATTGACGCTTTAATTGAAGGAGGTTTAGAAGCCTACAAAGAATTTCTTTCCAAGGAGAGATGTACAGAGTTCCTTGCAGATGAGGAAATTAATTATATTTTGAACACTGTTCAGAAACTTCCTCCAAACACTGTTTATTCCTCTGACAATTCAGTTGATGATGCTTCTTCCTCGGGAACTTATTGGCCTATTGAATCAGATGTAGAAGCTCCAAACCTTGATTTGGGTTGGCCCTTTCTCATGCCTGGTATTTCTGGTGGCACAAACATCGATCTGCTTTTTCACCCACCACGAGTACAGCCTTTCACAATAAAGGAAACCATTAGGAAGATGATAAGAGAAGCAAGAAAGGTAAATAATTTATATTTAAAGACTATGGCAATAAATACTTTGGTTGATATGTTAAATATTTTTTTTGTTCATAATATCAGTAGAAAAAAAATTTCTGGCTGCACAAAAAGTTTATCATGGAAATGTAAGGTTGGAAGGGTCACCTTGCATCATGATTTCCAGTTGCCTGTTATCACAGGCCACATATCTTATAATCCCACTTATAAAAGGACCAAAAGAAGATGGAATTCTTGTAATGAGACCCCTGCGTGATGCTGATTAATGCTTGCAAAATCCATAGCTTATTGGTGGATCCTTGCTTTGACCTCAGTATACATTCCTGCCTATGACTTTATAAAAACAAATTGGCCTGATTCTCAGTTGGTGTATTTCAGTCTAGCTCCAGTATCATCCCACTTTCTTCCCTACCTCCCCTCTGTAATTATAGGATCATTCATGCATAGGATTTGTCTTTTGGCCTGTTTTTATAAGCAGGCAACATTTTCATGTGCATTAGAGTACTATATTTCAGGTGCTCAAGAAGTAAGACTTCTTTATTATTTTCATACCAACCCTGGTCACAGAAACAGAGCAGAAAAGAGAGGTAAATATAAACAGGATTATGTTAATATGAATTTAGGAAACAGAAATGATAAAATCTGGTATCCTGCCTCCAGAAATAGGTAATACATGAGGCATCAAAGAAAGTTGAATGGTGTTCCGCAAACTGCCTGATTTACTTTACAGTGGGAAAAAATACTTCCTGATCCATAGACAAGATCCATCAAGTAGTTGCATGTAAAACAAAGGAGGGGAAAAAACTACTGCTTATTAAAGGATGTTGTTGGCACCAGAACAAATGCTTCCATTTGCTGGAAGTTAAAAAAAAGTTTCTATCTCAGACCAATTTGCTTCTAGAACAGCCTTCCCATGAGTGTAGCAGGGACAAAAACCTAACTAATTTTAATATAGAGTTTGATCAATGTACAGCAAGGGACTGTACTCGATGAACCAGGAGATTCTTTCCATTCTGATGGTTCTATGATTGTATTGTGTATTGTAGTAATGTTATAGAGAAGTACCTGCACAGTATAAATTGCTTACAGTTTAATTAGAGTCTTTAAAATGAAAGCAGAAACATAAAATGCTTATGTGTTTAAGGAGTGATGTATGAGCCTATCAAATGTTTCTTTAATGGTAACTTAAGAACAATGTCTACACAAAAGGCATAACTTTAAGGTCCTCTGTTTATATTAATTATGTGGCATGTGCTTCATGCACAGGAGGGCACCCAGTCCAAGCTGGGGCACAGCTGTGCCTGACAGTCAGGCTAAATACAGACAGTCAAAAAGTCAGAGCCTGAATTGATTCAGTCTTTGCAAGGTAGTCTAAACTGCATAGATTGAACCAATAAGCAAGTGAACAGACATTCACTTCCAATTCTGGAAATGCAGCCACATTCTGGTTCAGGCCAGAAGCTGGGGGGTGCTAGAGCAGGCCTTCCAGCCATTGCCATAGCTAAACCCCAGCCTGGGGCCAGTATGTTGAGGCCAGGGTGAGGGGGGCTTTAAACCCCACTCTCTGGTCCGCATAGGCCAGGCTTATCCCCATCTCCTGGCCCAGGCCAGCATGCTGAAAAGGGAGATGGGGGGGTTTAAACCCCATACCTGGCCCACAGTGTACCCTAAATGGGGTCTGCCTGCTTGCGGGGAGGCAGGGCAGTCCCTGCCAGGCTTTTCCCCCATCCTCAAGCAGCAAATGTGTGGGGTGTAGCCATACGTCGGCCCAGGGCTTACACACTGAGGTGGGAGAGAAGGGGGTTAAACCCCTCCCAGTCCACATGGGACCTCAGCCAGGGTTTGATGGGGGCAGCCTCTACCATGCTTTTACCCCCCCCCCCCAGTTTGCGCAGAGATTGGGGCGTCTGGCCAGACTGCGGCCTGAGGCCAGTACTCTAAGGTGGGGAAGGGGGAATAAACCCCCTCCTAGGCCCTCACAGGACCCCAGTCCCTGTCTGCCTGGGGTGACAGCCTCTGGCAGACTTCTGTCTTCTGCTGCCCACCTAGTGGGGGACAGCCCCTACTAGGGTTGTGCTCCCCCCTTGAGCAGGGGGTGTGGGCACACTCTGGCCAGCAGCTTGCAGGCTGAGGTGGGGAGGGATGGGGATTAAACCCTCTCCCTTACTGCAGAAGATCACAGCCTGGGTTTGTTTCAGGAGGGAAGGGGTCCCTGAGGTCCCTGCCAGGCCCCTGCCCCCACCCCCACCTCTAGTAGAGAGTGGGGGGCATAGCTGCACCCCCAAGCCAGGGGCTCACTGACTGATGGGGGCGAAGGGGGTTTAGGCTTTTTCCCTCCCCTCCCTACTCGCTCTAGTGGAGGAGGGGCATGGCCACACCTTGGCCCGGGGCTCTGATGCTCAGGTGGGGAGGGAGTGGGTTTTAAAACATGCCAGCCCCAGGCCAGGACATGGCCACAACACCTGCTGTCCATTTGAGTGAGAGAACAAACCATGACAAGAGCTGCCCTCTCCCCTCCTTGAGCAGAGAGTTGGTGGGAGCAGGCAGAAAAGTTGCAGGGGCTGTCCCCACCTAGGACAAACCCTGGCTGGCTGCCCCCACTCAGGACAAACCCTGGCTGGGGTATATGATAACTTGCTATATGTTTGAAAGAGGACCTCCAGTTTCAAGAAAGGAAAGAGTTAGGAAGATTCGTCCATCATGGCATATTTTTTCTGAATTGGTCCAAATTTTCATCAGCATTTTCTACTGTACATATTTTAAATAAATGCTGTTAAAAGCAATGACCATTGCTTTTAGCAGCATTTATTTTGCCAGCACACTCTATGAATTGCTTCCCCCATTAGATGTTTTGTGCTTTATACATGTTCACCTTAGGGAGAACCATTGACAGAACAGTTTGCCATTCTTCTAGGTCTGGTCTATCACAGAATTATAGAACAGGTTACCCAGAGAGATTGTGGAATCTCCATCATTGGAGGTTTTTAAGACCCAGCTAGACAAAGCTTTGGCTGGGATGATTGAGTTGGGTATGGTCCTGCTTTGAGCAGGGGGTTGGACTGGATGACCTCCTGAGGTTCCTTCCAACCCTTATTTTCCTTTTGAGGAAGGTTTGGGACTCCATAAAGATATACTGTCTATAATCTGAAGCTTCAAAATCACAAAAGACAATGATTCTTGCAGTAAATTTTCTACATGTTTTCTGCCTGCCTACAATTCATGCTTCTTCCACTCCTCCTGTCCTATGCAGGAAATGCTGCCAGATGAAGGCTCAGTATTTTGTGGGTGTTTTATGTATTATTATATAGGAAAGGTTCGACATAACCTTTAACCTTTTTTAAAGGAGATATAGTTCATAGTATTTTAGACCTTTTATCTAAGTACACAAAGGCAAAAAGCCTGAGGGTGAATTGATTGAGGGTTTGCAGGGTAGGTGCAAAGCATCTTGGGATGTTGGGGGACAATGAATTAACTGGAATCTGGAGAGGACCTGGGACAGATGTTCACTAAACTGATTTAACTTAAATCAGTTCAATGCGATACTACATCCGTCCAGGTTTATCTTAAACTGGCTGTGGTCATTTTGAAAGTATTTTATGTGTAATTAACTTCTGTTGTGTTACATATTTGAACCAGTTTCTGATCATTTATATCAGTTATGTTTAATTTCTGTCCTAATGTTTTATTTAGGTCACTTCCATATTAATTAAGAGAATGATTTCTGGTTGGTGATGGCATCACTCTGCAATGATGAGACAGCAGAATGGATTTTAAAATCAACCAACACATTACCAAACAGTAAAAATGAAATAGCAGCCTTATAAAATTGGGCTCTTGTGGTGATATGGATTGGTTGCTTCAGGAGGACATTATTTATTCTTGAAAGCAGCAGTGATATTTGACTGTGTCTTTTGGTATTCACTGATATATGTCAGCAGAGCATCAGGCTCAGAGAGTAGTAATCAATAGCTCGATGTCTAGTTGGCAGCTGTTATCAAGTGGAGTGCCCCAGGGGTCAGACGTGGGGCCGGTTTTGTTCAATGACTTCATCAGCGACCTGGAAGATGGCATAGAGCGCACCCTCAGCAACTTTGCAGATGACACCAAGCTGGGGGGAGTAGTAGATATGTTGGAGGGTAGAGCTAGGATTCAGAGTGACCTAGACAAATTGGAGAATTGGGCCAAAAGGAATCTCATGAGGTTCAACAAGGACAAGTGCAAAGTCCTGCACTTAGGATGGAACAATCCCATGCACCAGTACAGGCTGGGGGCTGACTGGCTGGGCAGCAGCTCTGCAGTAAAGGACCTGGGGATAATAGTGGACAATAAGCTGAATATGAGCCATCAGCATGCCTTTGTTGCAAAGAAGGCTAATGGCATATTGGACTGCACTGTTAGGTGTGTTGCCCGTAGGTCAAGGGAAGTGATTATTCCCCTATATTCACAACTGGTGAGGCCACATCTGAAGTACTATGTTCAGTTTTGGGGCCCCCATTACAGAAAGGATGTGGACAAATCGGAGAGAGTCTAGCAGAAGGCGACAAAAATAGTGAGGGGCCGGGGGGACATGACTTATGAGGAAAGACTGAAGGAACTGGGCTTATTTAGTCTAGAGAAGAGAAGACTGAGAGAGGATTTAATAGCAGCCTTCAACTACCTGAAGGGGGGTTCGAAAGAAGATGAAGCTAAATAGTTCTTAGTGGTGGCAGATGACAGAACAAGAAGCAATGCTTTCAAGTTGCTGCAAAAGAAGCTTAGGTTAGATATTAGGGAGAATTTTCTTACTAGGAGGGTAGTAAAACACTGGAACAGGTTACCTAGTGAAGTGGTGGAAGCTCTATCCTTAGAGGTTTAAGACCTGTCTAGACAAAGCCTTGGCTGGGATAATCTAGTTGGGGGTGACCTTCTTTGAGCAGGGGGTTGGACTCTCTTCCAACCCTAACTTTCTATGATTCTGTGATTCTGTGTCACATATACAGTTAAACTTAAAAGGAAGGTGGATTG